CCGCGGTCGACTACGTGGGAGTCCAGCGACAGCCATTACGCTAACTGCTGGTTCCCTAAAAATGTATATTTTACAGATCACACTGTAAACTCAGCATAGATCAATGGCTTTTCACATACTGATTTTCTTAGTTGCAATAAATCAAATAGTGAAGTATAGATAAACATACTGATAACTACGTGGGAGTCCAGCGACAGCCATTACGCTAACTGCTGGTTCCCTAAAAATGTATATTTTACAGATCACACTGTAAACTCAGCATAGATCAATGGCTTTTCACATACTGATTTTCTTAGTTGCAATAAATCAAATAGTGAAGTATAGATAAACATACAGATATATAATATATATATATATATACACACACACACATAAATGCAAAGGGTCCTCAAAAAGCTCCTAGAAATTTAGTATTATCAAAACTATTAACATGGATTTCAAAATATTTTGCACCAAAGTAAATTCATAGTTGAATTGCATTTTTCCACAAACTTTTAAAAGTCCCCTCATATCCACACACTAACACATACACACACACACACACACACACATATATATATATATATACACATGCACATTTATAGTGCAAATTCATTATAAATTTTAAAATTATTTACTGCTTTAAAAATAGTATATTTCTTAAAATATTTATACACAGAGAACTGAATATTATGATTTTACTAATGAGTAACTTTATAAACCTCTTTATAAACTCTGACAAATCCATCCTATTATTTTCTTTCCCTGTAGCCTTCATAGCAACTTGAAGCAGTTAATGTTTATAATGGATTTTACTGAACAGATCAAGTCTTAATAATTTATTAAAGTGTCACTAATTGTGCTTCTGGACTATTTCAACTAAGGATCCCTTAATTTCCTACAAAATTTAACTATTTAAAGATTGGTTTAATGGAAACTTGGGCTCCTGCATTTTCCTCTTGTTTTCTTGTACAATGTGCATGTTTGTGTGTGTGTGTGTGTGTGTGTGTGTGTGTGTGAGATATGTAAACAGGAATTATTCATTATTTTCTTGTATCATCTTTTTATTTTATTTATTTATTTTTTTTCATTTAAGGTACATCTTTTTGCCTCAGAAGGACAGAGAGCCCCACCAAGGAGGTGCGGTCACATGACAGTCCTTCCTCCTCCATCCCTCCCTCCTATCAGGACCGTGAGCACACACGTGCCCAGTGAGTTTCCCAGCGGCTGGGGTGGGACCCACCTCCAGTACACAGCACTTAGCCCCTGCGCTGTGGGGCCGGCCCTCATGTTCTCTTCTGACATCCTGGCCTAATCCCAGATCCAGCAAACTCGGAAAGGAAAGGGGTGGTCTTCCCTGGGAACATCGCAACATCCACTTGGGTGTCCTTATTATCAAATATACAGAAAAGGATGTTGAGGCTGGCAGGTGGTGCGGTGGTTAGGGCGCCAGACTTCCACATGGCTGACTACAGCTTAAGTCCTGGGCCTGGAAGCTTACTGCTCACTTTCTGTTTGTCTCTCCCTGGTCAAATGAAAAAGAACCAATAATAAATAAAATTAAATACGTAATTCTTCAAAAAAAAAAAGGAATGTAAATTCTGTTCATCCTAATCTCCCTGCGCTGTAACCGGTCTGCACTAACTGTAATATTGCCCTTAGGAAATTTTATAGACTCCATTGCCCTGGCCAGTTAGGACCAGGAGTGAACTTTCTCTGTGACAGCATCAAGCCACAGGAATGCGCTTAGTTACTCAAGGGTAGTCATGAAACCCCAGAAACCCCACACCTACTGACAGCACCAACACCAGCCAAACCCCAAGACCTGAATCCAGGGTTACCTAACACACCAAGTCTCACCACACCAGCCCTGAGGACAGCAGGGAGGGCGGGCAGCCCAGGCACACAGTCCCCTCCTCAGGGGCAAGCGCCCTGGCTGTCTCTCCCCAGGGCAGAAGTGCGGAACCTGACCTAGCCTCACCTCCATGTGGGCGCTCCTGACCCACAGGAATATTGATTTTCCATAACTTCGTTTTCCGAAATTGAGTTTTAGAGGAAAGCGGGTGGAGGGTGGGATGGAGGGTGGAGGGAGTGGACCGGCCTGGACTCAGTGGCCCGGGCAGTAGGAGGCAGCTGATCTGCAGGGCTGGAGGCACAGGGATTAGGGGACCTTAAACAGCTGGGGGGCACCCACGATCCTGCCTAGCGGGATGGCGTGGGGACAGGAATCCCAGCCGACCAGCCTGCCTCTCTCTCTCTCTCTCTCTCTCTCTCTCAAGAAATAAAAAAAAGAAAAACAGAAACTAAGGTAAATGTCAATTTCATCTAGCACACAAACCCCAAATGTGCCCGAGTGCTCTCTGAAGACACCAAATCCTGTAAGATTTTGCCCGAGGTGAGTTTACTAAAGGCCGATCTGCCCCAAGAGCTGAAGCGAACCTCAGGATGACCTCCGCAGGTTTGAGCCACTACGGAAGCGGGGCGGGGGGCAGAATTTGCCACACTCAGGAGTGCAGGACAGGCCCGGGTGGGCACGGACTTGGGCACTGCGGAAGCCCCCTGGACACGACCCTCGGCGCTCTCGGCCCTCCAGCCCTTTGTGGTTCCTGGGTTCGGTCACCTGCAGCCGGGGACCTGAGGGCGATCACCTGTGGCCTGGCGAGCAGGGAACAGCTCAGGAGGGTTGGTGCAGCGCCCAGCCTGGCTGATTGCCTCGTCTTGGACCAAGACCTGCACGCCCGCGCTCAGCGGAGTCACCGGCCGCCCCGGGCCATGCACAACTACGGGGCTGGTTCCAGTTGCTGCTGCCGCCCCAGAGAGCAAGGGAAGAACCCAGCCTGGGCGCACACCTGCGTGCCCGCCCGCTGGGACCGTGGGGCCACGCCCCAACTCTCCAGACTCCAGCTCCCTGGGCGTCTCCGATCTCCCCTCCTAGCCTCTTATCCCTTCTTGTCGCCGACTACCCCTGCCAGTCTATTTTCCCTGCCTGTGGCCGGTAACCCCTCCCAGCCTCTGGGACTGCTGGTCCCTGGCCACCCACACCTATTACACTCAGGTCCTAACGCGTCGCAGGCCACCCCTTACATCCTCTTGTCTTTGCGTGTCACCGGCCCTCCCTCCCAGCATCACGTCCCAACTGGTCCGCAGTTGCCTCTAGTACGGATAACCGCCCCCAGCCCGCCCTGCGTGTCCAAGCAGGAGCCACAACAGACACTTACCCGGAGTCTCTGTGCAGCAACCCAGAGCAGGCAGAGGCTGGACCAAAGCTTAGGAGCCGCCTTGGGCCTCTAATACCCGTGGGCGGGAGCACTGGAGCCCTGGAAAGACAGCCCGCAGCCCAGAGGGGAAGCGCTTCTGGAAGCAGTCTCTTTGGGTGAGTCTAACCCCGCCCCGAAGATGACTCACACTAAGGCTGCCTTCTGGAGTTTTATATCTGTGACCTGCATACGGCCCCACTGGCGTGTTTACCAGGAATTATGGCCTCAGAAAGCAGAAAAGTGCTCCTGCTCCGTGGTCGTACCCAGCTCAGTGCAGACAGACATGTAAGATGGGCATGGTCCTGGCATTCACTGCGGAGTTCAAAACCGTGCAGGATCTGGAGGCCCAGAAGAGTTAGAGCCCAGAGTGCTGGAACAGGTGGGAACCTCTGGGCTGTCCTCTTAGAGCCTGCTCAGAACAGAAAGGTCTGCAGACGCTGGTGGGGTAGGGGGAATGTTAGCCAGATTTAAAAAATTGAATTAAGTTTATGAAAACAAACTGTTCACTGTCTCTCGCATCCTTACCCCAAGCCGATTTCTCAGCATGGGCAGTATTGATGCATGAACTGCATAATCCTGGCTCTTGGGGGCGGGAATGGGGTGGGCTTCCGGCTGTCTTGACATTACAGACTGTGAACAGCATCGGGCCTCTCTACCAAGCAGATTTCAGTAGCAAACCAGCTCCCAACCCAGAGACGCCTTTTAATTTTATCTTTAGAGTGGTGAAGCATACAGGAACACTCCGCTAGCTTAATTCCACTTCCATCCTTTCCCAATCCTTTTGCTTATTTTTTTGAAGCGTATTTATTTTATTCATGATACCCAATCCTTTTGCTTATTTTTTTTAAAGCGTATTTATTTTATTCATGATAGAGGCTGCTCGTCTGTGTGAGAGAGAGTGAGAGACAGAGAGGAGCAATTTGGACAGGGTCCCCACATGCAGAAATCTTCTCATCTAGCCTCCAGCTTGTCTTCAGGCCCACCCAGGGACGCGAACTGAGGTCAGCCCTGTGGCTTCCAGCACTGCAGTTTACTCTGCTGCCAACTGCACCACCAGCCTATGCCTCTGAGGCTTTCACTGCACTTTTATCAGCTTCAGGTTGATCCTTGCAGCTGATTTTTTGCAAAATAAATAATGTATATGCTTATACACTAATTATTATTTCACCCTTCTTATCAAAAGGATAGCATTCTATGTATTCCTTGTTGATAGTTCTGTAATCTTTTGCTTAATATATTGTGGAAATCCATGTAATTTGTGACATAGAGATCGTCCTTATTCTTTTCTCCTGGCCCGGCAGTATTCCTCTGTGTATCATTTGGAAGGTTTCTAATCATGTCATTACAATGAACACTGCTGTAAATAATCTAGTCAGCACTTCTCAAACCTCAGTGCAAATCACCTTGAGGATAGTGTCAGATGCAGATCCCAGTTCATGAGATCTGGAGGCTGGGCATTTCTCTCAAACTCCCACGTGGGGGACCAGTAGTTAGCATAATGGCTATGTCGCTGGACTCCCACGTAGTAGACTGCGGTTCGCGTCCTTGACCCAGTGGCTTAAAACTCATGCCGGGCATGTGTGCGTGTGTGCCCAAGATCCCGAGAGGGGAATGGAGGAGAAGGGATTGCGGCGTGGCCATCCCCCCTGGGGGGTGATTTCTCGCTTTCTGTCTCTCTGTTTCTCTCTGTCTGGCACCCTATAGCAAAAACCTCTCCAAAAAATAAATAAATAAAAACTCCCACGTGGCTGATCCTGCAAGAAGTTAATGCAAGTACTATTTTGTATTCAGAGCGACATATCCACTAATCCAGATTGCTAAATTCCTGGCCAAAAGGTTTGTCAGTTATCATCAAGTTTTCTGACACAAAGGTCGTTATTTTGTCGTCTCACCTTTCTTCCCAGTTTCACTAACAGTGACTGTCAAACTTGTGGAGATAATATCTCAGTGTAGTTCTAGTTAGTGAGGTCAAACATATTTTTTATATATTTAAAAGCTACAATGTCCTGTTTAAGGACAGTCTGGGAAGCACCCCAAACCCCTATCCATGCACCATCCAACTCCCACTACATGCTCTGCTCCTGGACTTCTTGCAAAGAGCTTGGCTTCTTCCCGGTGTTTTCTGGGACTGAAGCAAAAAACCCGCCATGCTGGGCCAGCCCCGCAGTGCTTAAGCACTGTGCATTGGGAGCTGGATTCCACATGGCCTGTTTGAGTGCCTCCCCTGGCAGCTTGAAAAACACACCAGGACCTTGTATACGTGCACCCCAAATCCTGATGGGCAGGAGAAATGGAGGAAAAAGGATTGTGGTGTGGTCATGTCACATTGGGAAGTTCTCTCTCTCTCTCTCATCTGATGAGCACATGTGCCCTGTGATAATTAATTTAATTTTAATTAGGAAAAACATAATAAAAATAAACTGATTTGTGTCAAACAAGGTTTAAGAGTGCTTGTGAAATAATTAGGTGAAGCTGTCAGGTAGAAATAAGGAGAAAGGGAGAGATTTACTTCAATTGTTAAATGAGGCCGTGGGAAGGGTACATTGACCCTGCAGAACTTGTGTATCAACACAGCGTCTGCCTGATGACAGAAGTCCAGATGATACCAACAGACATTTTTAAAAGGCAGCTGGAAAAAGAGCACGTGGCAAAGAGGGCTGAGAAGGAGGTGACAGAGAGGAACAGTGATGAGGGACCAGACCCATAGCGTGAGCAGCTGGTGCTGAACTAAGAGGCCAGCTCTCACTTCCACGTCAGTGATGACCAGCGGGACGGCAGGTGGGATAAACATCAGACTGAGTGAGATAGATACAGAAAGAGAGAGAGAGAGAGAGATGGAGACACCTGTCTTAGAAATCTCAAGAAACATAGCTGTGTGGAATGAGAGAGCGGAAGAGAGAGTGCTTAGAGCTGGAGGTGGGATAGAGGGAAGATAGTGTTTTAAGGACACAATACTTTATTTAGCATGTCATTTGCCTTCTAAGTAGTGACAATCAAAATAGTTAATAAAATAATAGGCAATTCAAAAGTCATCTGATTTAAAAGAGAATCGAAGGGCCAGGCAGTGGTGCAGCAGTAATGCAACTGTATGCACATGGAAAGGTCCTGAGTTCACATCCTGGGACCTCCCTGATCATGCCGGGTGTGTGCATACCCATGACAATCTAGCAAGACTAGGGTCAAGAGGTAATTGTCTTTCTATCGTTCTCTGAAGAAACAATAAAATAAATTTAAAAACAAAGGAAAACATAAACAGAAAAGCAGATTGTATTTTCAGTACAGCGGTGAAGCAAGGTCACACTGCCTATATTTTTTTGAAAAGTTCTATTGATTCATTTATTTACTTTCACATTTATTCACTGTACATCTTTACAGCATACAAAATGGATTTTGCCACCTGAATACACTGCAAATCAGTCTAGTCAAAGACATGACCGTGTGCATTGTCATCAGCAGACAATATTCTATTTTCATGTCCATTCGATGTTTTGTCCTTTTTTCCTCTTGATTTTCTCCTTCCTCCCCCATTGTCCACTCTTCTCCTGCTATATAGTTTGCTATTATATATATATATATATAATTTTTTTAATTTCAAGAAAAGTATTTTTAGCTTTAATGAATCAAAATGAAAAAAATAAATGGGGACCAGCAGGTGGCATGGTGGTTAAGGTGTTGGACACTCCCACATGGCCGACCACGGTTCGAGTCCCAGACCTGGCGGCTTCCTTTCTCCCTTTCCCTCTCTGTGTGTGTGTGTGTGTGTGTGTGTGTGTGTGTGTGTGTTTCTCTCTGGTCAAATGAAAAGAAATGAATGAATGAATGATTAAAATTAAACCATTATTTTTTTAAAAATCAGATAGCTTGTGAAGGTAAAATGTTTCCTTAAGACTTAATGCCAGGAAAAAGGTTAGGAGTCTGTTCAAACAGTAGGCAGACACTAAAAACACACAAAAAACAAATATGGACAGAGCTAACTTCTAGTAACAGGTGCACAGTAATATTCTTTTGAAACATTTTTTTTCCTCTGTTCCCCCTTTACCAAATAGAAGTATAAACTAACTTACTTGCAAAAAGAAAAACAAGTTTAGTCTCAATTTGGTCTGTTCTTTGCACAAAGCCCCATAAGAATACTGATTGATTGAGTTGGCTCTGTTGGACCCTTTTATAAGGAACTTCGGATTAGACTCTTTAACAAGCCTCCCAAGGCTACTGGGCCATGTCAGGAATTTACCATCTGCCTGTGCCTTTAAGTACCTAAAAATTTTTTTTTGTTTTGTTTTCTTTTTGTTTGTTTGTTTTTGGAGAGGCTTTTGCTGTAGGGCGCGTGCACTCCCAGACAGACAGAGAGATAGAAAGCGAGAAATCACCCCCCAGGGGGGATGGTCACGCCGCAATCCCTTCTCCTCCATTCTCCTCTCAGGATCTTGGGCACGCATGCACATGTGCCTGGGGTGAGTTTAAGCCACCGGGTCCGGGACTGGAACCGCAGTCTACTACGTGGGAGTCCAGCGATATAGCCATTACACTAACTGCTGGTCCCATGGTGAGGGGTTTTTATTTGGGTCAGGAAGGGCTTTGTCCAGACTTTTTCTAGGTGAGGCTTGGGCATGCATTCCCCTCCGGGTGGAAGGGGCGTGACGCTGGGTAGGTCCGATTATTTTCCTAATTTTGGAGTGGGTACCAAGGTCAGAAGGTTTTTTGTTTTTGTTTTTGTCTAGAAGCATTGGGCTATAAAAATCATCGTCTTATCCTCTTCCCGGAATGTGGTGGGGACTGGGAAAAGCCTTTTTTTAGGTCTAGGTCAGTCACTGAGCCACAGCTGCAGGAGGTCTCTCTGGAGCAAGCAGCATAGCTACTTTATCACCATCTCAAAACGAAGTCATTTTGGGGAACCAGCAGTTAGCGTAATGGCTATGTCGCTGGACTCCCACGTAGTCGACTGCGGTTCACGTCCCGGACCCGGTGGCTTAAAACTCACGCCGGGCGCGTGTGCGTGCGTGCCCAAGATCCCGAGAGGAGAATGGAGGAGAAGGGATTGCAGCGTGACCATCCCCTCTGGGGGGTGATTTCTCGCTTTCTGTCTCTATGTCTCTCTCTGTCTGTCTGGCGAGCGCACGCGCCCTACAGTGAAAATCTCTCCAAAAAAAAAAAAAAAAACACAAAGTCATTTTGTGATTCCATTTTGGGCCCATACCCCAACTATAATTTTTGGGTCCCTGTCTCTCACCTCACCTCCTTACTGCGCGTTTCTTTCTGACCCAGTCAGATAACTGGATCCAATCCAGTTAATGTCCTAATCTAATCGAATCCTGGACCCAGTCCAGCTTGTTGCGACTCCAAACCTAGTTTGGACCAGAATTTGTTCACATAAAACTCAGAGAGCTCTAAATGCAAATCCATGGAGCTTAAATCTGAGAGAGAACTTACCCACGATCCCCACTTGCCACAAGAGAGCAATGGACATCATACGGTCCCACAGATACCTCGCTTGGTCACTTGCTATTCCTGGGGGTCACTGGGAAGCTCTACTTCAGATCCTGCTCCTGACACCAAAACTGTTCAAAGAAAAATTAACTGGGACCAGCAGTTAGCGTAATGGCTATGTCGCTGAACTCCTATGTAGTCGACCACAGTTTGAGTCCTGGACCCGGTGGCTTAAACTCACGTCGGGCGCGTGTGCATGCATGCCCAAGATCCCAAGAGGAGAACGGAGGAGAAGGGACTGCGGCGTGGGCATTCCCCCTGGGGGGTGATTTCTCGCTTTGTCTCTCTGTCTTTCTCTTTCTGGCGAGCCCACACGCCCTATAGCAAAAAAACCTCTCCCAAAAAAGGAAAAAAAAAAAGATCGTTAAGGGAACCCCATGATGTTTCATTTTACTCTGAAATACTAATATGGGGAGTTGGGGACAAGAAACACCGAATTAATTTCCTATTCACCTAGAATGACGAAGCCTATTCTTACTTTCCTTCACAGCTAGGGATGAAATGAAAAGTGAGACTCTAGAAACCCAGGAAGAACTGTTTGTCATTGGTGCTGATTCTATTTTCTCTTATTTCCATAACTTGATCTGCCAGAGGCCAGCGGGTGGTGTGGAGGGTAAGGCACTGGTTCCCACATGCTTGACAGCATGGTTCGAGTCCCGGATCCGATGCTTTGCGAATCACACCAGATGAGCTTCATTCTCACCCTCCCACCTCTGGCAAGCACACACGCCCTATAGAAAACAATATAGAAATAACCTGACCCCCTCCAAAAACTCCGGATACAAATACGGTCACATCTCATTCGTTTGAATAGCTCAGGGCACAATACCAGATCAGCAGAATGTTTTGCCATTTTCTTCTTGAGGATAGGTTCCTACTGAAATATCCTAGAATAAAGTATCATTGAATTGACACTTTTATGAAAAACTTACATTTTACAGACCTAGGGAATGAGGGATTCCAGGACCAAGCAGAGAGCGACTTGGCTCAGTCCACATCTATGATTTCTCCTCACTGCCACAAGGGGGTGCTGCAGCATCACAGTCACGCTAGATCACAAGGCATCTGCCAAGGCTCCCTGCATCGCAGTTCTGATCTGAAAACCGAAAACCGCCCCAGGAAGCTGGACTCACAAGACCAGGTTAGGCTGTTCCTGCTGGCGATCTCGGGGTGTGAGAGCATCTGAGAGAGGCCATGTTCCCACCCCTGAATCAGCACACAGACAACCCCACTGCACAGACAACTGCACCCTAACACGGGGAGAGGCATCTTAGGTGAGGAAAAGAAAAAACACCCGCGTTTTCGAGTGAAAGTCCCAACAAGCAACACGGTACACGGTCAACAGCTGCAGGCGTTTTCTTTAGGAACGTTATGAACACGGGGAGCCTTTATTCGCCTATAGCTTGGTGAAGGGCCACCCAGGACCCCCGAGTCAAGGCATAGAGTTTGGGGAAGGGTCTTTGTGGGCTGCCAGATGACACAAGAGCACAAACTGCTCTCCAGTGCGTGCCCTCTCCTGCAAACACAGCTCTGGGTCCAAGACTTATGGCTCTTTTTATTTTTATTTTTGGAGATTTCTGCTATAGGGCACGTGTACTCGCCAGAGAGAGAGAAACAGAGAGACAGAAAGCGAGAAATCACCCCCCAGGGGGGATGGCCACGCCGCAATCCTTTCTCCTTCATTCTCCTCTCGGGATCTTGGGCACACACGCACACACGCCTGGCATGAGTTTTAAGCCACCAGGTCCAGGACGTGAACCTCAGTTGACTACATGGGAGTCCAGCAACATAGCCATGACGCTAACTGCTGGTCCCACGGTTCTTTTTATTTTTAACAGAATTTTTCTTTTGGTACACAGACAGCTTCCTCAATTTCCCCTATGGTGGCATCTCGCAAAACCATAGTACAATAGCACAACCAGGATGTTCACACTAACACACTAACACCGTCAGATCCAGAATACTTCCATCCCTCCCATTGCCTCTTTAAAATTTCTCTTTTTTTTTTTTTTTTAGTATTTTGCTATAGAGTGAGAGTGTTTGCCAGAGACAGAGAGACAGAGAGTGGGAAAGTGAGAAATCGCTCCCCAAGGGGAATGGCCACACTGCGGTCCCTTCTCTTCATTCTCCTCCTGTCTGCTGGTAGATGGACAGGCATGTTTCTCAAGCCTCCCCTCACCCCCAATCCCTCGTCTGGGCTCCAAGGCCCATGTTGGACCCGGTGCCTTAGCCTCCACGCACCCGCTGGCGGTAGGTTGCTTTTTAATAGTGAACCCCACTTTCCTCCCTAGCACCTGCCAAGCACTAATCTATTCATTTCTACAGTCTGTCCTTTCAAGAAGCGAATCTCAGTGCACATGGCCCTTTGGGATTTCCCTATAACTCTGAGCAGGCCGTTGGGGCGTCAATAGCTAGTAACACGTCATGGACCTTCATTCTGTAGCCTGGACCCCCGCCAAGGACACGGGGGAGGAAGTCACAGGGCAAGTGAGCATCCCCTCCTGACAGCCCGACGCTTCAGCCCGGTTTCCACCTCCTTGGAAGAGACCTGCTCCAACATCAGAGGGGAGCACCTGGGGAGCTGGGCCTGGGGTAGAGGAGAGGGCGGGGTCTAAAGACGGACAGGGGCGGGGCCCGGCGGGTACTTGAGAGCGCAGGTGCAGTGCAGCGGGCTGGAGGGGAGGTTCCCCATGCGGGTGGGCGGAACAGGGCTCCAGAGCAGAGGAAGGCTGGGGGCAGGAGCGGGGCGGGGCCTGGGAGCGGGATGTAGGTGGGTCTCAGGCTCTGGAGGCAGGACCCAGGGGTCTGCACAGAGCAAGGCGTGGGCGTGGGCGGGGCCTGGGCGGAGCCTGAGAGGGTCGGAGGCGAAACCCCCCGCCCTCCCTCCGCGCGGGCTGGCGCTGCCGAGGGTGAGTGGGTGCCCGGCACCCGGCCTGGGAGGGACCGTTCCCCGACTGCGGCCGACAGGTCTGGGGGGTCGGCCTGCCGGGGGCTGAGCCACGTGGGCCCCGGCCTCGCGCCCGCCCAGCCCGGTTCCGAAGTGGGTCTTCCCGGTAGGTCTCACCGAGCGCCACCGCACGTGAGCCGGTGCCGAGTGTGCAGCACGAGTCCTCCCCCTCACCTGCCCTCGGCCCTGCCCTGCGGAGCAGGTGCTGCGGTTGTCACAGCCACAAGAGGAAGCCGCCCAGGGTCAGGGCTTGTCCGAGGGGAGCCAGTGCCTGAGCCCCGGAATGTCCCCTTGCCCTGAGAGCAGCGGGGTCACTGTACTTTGTCTGCTTTGGTCGGGGACAGTGTGGAGTCCGGAAATGGCAGCCCCTTTAACCTTTTATCCGAAATCTCAGTCATAGCCATGCATGAAAAGGAATGTGTATTATGTAATACAGGCTCCTAGCCGTGCTGTGTGTCGTTCTGGACAAAAATGGAAATAACCAAAGTGCCCGGGAGTAGAGAATGGGCACAAAAGAGCAGGAGACAATGGCGAGCCGACAGTGAAATGCTATCTGGCTGTTAGGGTGACCCACGTGGACCTGAGGCGTGGGAAGAGGCGGGAAATACCCAGTGAAAACAGATAGAGTAGCTATTGGATGTTTATTAAGATGAAATAATACATACATCAGAAATAGCGCCCATTCTGTGTGGTCTGTAGAGTGGGATACCACAGGGCCTTTGTGCCTGTAGACTTGGGTAAGTACCTAGACTCTAACAAAGGAGAAAACTATTAACCCTGTGGATGGGGCCCTATGGAAGATGCTGAAGGGAAGAGTCTTTGCCTGTGAGTCAGCAACTGGGGTGGAGGCTTTTCTCTACCATTTTGAACTAGTTGCTTACTTGTTGGGCCTCAGTTTCTTTCTCTTTATTTTTTTTGGGGGGGGTGTTTTGCTATAGGGTGCGTGCGCTCGCCAGACAGAGAGAGACATAGAGACAGAAAGCGAGAAATCACCCCCCAGAGGGGATGGTCATGCCGCAATCCCTTCTCCTCCATTCTCCTCTCGGGATCTTGGGCATGCACGCACACGCACCCGGCGTGAGTTTTAAGCCACCGGGTCTGGGATGCGAACCACAGTTGACTACGTGGGAGTCCAGCGACATAGCCATTATGCTAACTGCTGGTTCCCGGCCTCAGTTTCTTTTTAAAATTTAAAAAATAACTTTACATTTCAATTGTGCTATTACTGTCGTTACTATTTAAGTTGCAGTAAGACACGTGCAGTTACCAGAGAGGAAGAGAGGGAAAGCAAGCAGCCAAGTTTGGGACTCACACTGCAGTTGGCCACGTGGGAGTTCAGCACTTTAACCCCCATGCCACCTGCTGGCTTCAGGCCTTAGTTTCTTACTCTGTGGCCCTAGGAGAATTGGAGGAGACGGGGAGTCACATACTCAAATGCTGGGCGTGTGTTATAAATATGTAACTGGGACAAGCAAGGCAATAGGGAGTGGTGAGGCTTGTGGACTCTGAAGAATGCTTGCTCTGCTCCGTGGGGTTAAAATGAAAGCATTGCTCCGAGCCGCGTATCTTTGGGCCCTTTGGGACTCCCAGGATAAGGTGTTGCAGAGTCTGCAGTGACACTGGTAACCATTCCTGGGATGCAGGGCCCACACGGTAAATCAGGTCCTATCACTGTCCTGCTTAAGAGGCTTTCTGTTAGGCTTAGAATAAAATCCTGGCCCCTGCCCTAGGAGGGGCTAACCCTTACTCACCTCTCTGACTGCATTTGCTACTTCCTAGCTCTTCTTTAACCACGGTGCAGCCACACAGACTTTCTTCCTGTTTCTGTAACCTTCCAGGTCAACTCCCATTTCAGGCCCCTGCTTGCAATTCCTCCGCGTGGACCTCTGTACCCTCCCCACCCCTCCAGATCCTTGCAGGGCTGATTCCATATCACCATTGACTGTCTCTGCTTATAGACACCTTCCCCTTCCTGGACCATCTGTCTAAAATCACCAGCATACCCCTGCTGTTTCCGCCACAAAGTACTTTATTGCCTTATTACTATTAATTATGATCATCGCTAGTACTTACCCCCGTCTGTAACTCTGTGGTTGCTTTCTTTGCCTGCTTGTTTATGGTTTATTGCCTCCCCACACCAGAGCATAAGAGGAATGAGAGAGGCGATATGTGATCCCCAAGGTGGCAGGTCCCTAACGTGTTCAGTCAGTGCTGAAGTGAGTGGGAAAGAACTCACACTCCCCTTTGGCACGAAGGGGTGTTAGGAGTGATCGGAGCTGTTTTCTCCCTCTCTGCAGTGACAGCACCCTGCTTGGTAAGTCCTAAGCCTGCCCACCACTCTGCTCTTAAAAGCCTTTTTTCTTTTCAAAAATCCACAGGGCACCCAGCCTGGGGTGGAGCCACTCCCTGCACCGACCTCACTTCTTGGCAGTGTTCTGCTGAGCTTAGTTCATCCACACACTCGCCTCTAACTGTAACCCTCACACTCTCTTACAGCCTCTTCCAGCCCCCGCCCCCCCCGGGGGGATGGCCATGCCTCAATACCTTCTCCATTCTCCTCTCGGAATCTTGGGCACATACACACATGTGCCCGGCATGAGTTTAAGCCACCGGGTCCAGGACTCAAACCACGGTCGACTACATGGGAGTCCAGTGACATAGCCATTAGGCTAACTGCTGGTCCCAGGACTCTTGATTTACTGGGTCAGTGGCCTTTGCCATATGGGAAGGAGATAAGTGATGCTGGCCTCATAAGGAGGAACTTAAATACAGCATTCTCAGCCAGGAAGGGGAGAAGTGGGCAGCCCTTAAAATATCTATAACCTTTCGATTTTGCAAAATGATTTTTCTCATTTGGGCCATTTCTTGATTTAATAAAGACGTTTTGTCTGGGGAAGCAGCAGTTAGTGTAATGGCTATGTCACTGGACTACCACGTAGTCGACTGCGGTTCACATCCCAGACCCGGTGGCTTAAAACTCATGCCGGGCGCGTGTGCGTGCGTGCCCAAGATCCCAAGAGGAGAATGGAGGAGAAGGGATTGCGGCATGGCCATCCCCTCTGGGGGGTGATTTCTCGCTTTCTGTCTCTATGTCTCTCTCTGTCTGTCTGGCGAGCGCACATGCCCTATAGCGAAAACCTCTCCCCAAAAAAAAGACATTTTGTCTGGAATCATTCAAAGCTGAGGCAATGAATTTGGCTAATCCCTGCATCTTGCAGTAAGAACATGGAAACGGGTCATTCCCTCCAAACCAGGCCGCGTGCACCTGGCTTTTTATGCTGTCTCACACAGTTCTCCAGAGAACTGGCAAACAAGCAGATGGCCTTTGGCAGGTCCCCCAGCACTGGTCTGACCCCTTGTATTCGGAGCCGGAATTCCCCTGTGGTGGTGGTTTTATCTGGTCTTGGAGCACATCCACCCTGAGCTTGCATGCAGGTGTAGAGGACGTGCATATGAGGAATGGAAGAAGCGGAAGTCGGCCGGTTTGTAAATACACGCTGGTTTGTTTTACTCAGACTGTTTATTCTCTCCATCTGTTGCTCATACTTCTAAAGTGAGATGGATTATTGTTGATGAGTGTGCTGTCCACCCCCATGACTACCAGAACCAAACTGATCGCTTACTGTTGCAGGGCTTGTACAGGCAGTCCAGGCTCCCAGATGAAAGCTCCTTGGTTAACGACCAGGCTGCCACAGTAAGAGCTCCTCGGTTAACGACCAAGTTTGCGGGTCATTGGGCGCGTTGGTCGATAACCGAGGAGCTCAAAGGCAGATGACTTGTGGTGTGTTGTGGCACCATAGGGTATGTATTTTTCAATAGTTGTCACACACCATCACCCTAGAATAATGGAATTCTATCCATGTGAAAATATCTATTAGGTAAGTGCCAGAAAGCAACAAGATACCCCACCACCCAATAATAGAAATGTGGCATAATCATTTTTATTTATTCAGAATACTACTATTGGGAACCAGCAGTTAGCGTAATGGCTATGTCGCTGGACTCCCACGTAGTCGACCGCGGTTCGTGTCCCGGACCCGGTGGCTTAAAACTCACGCCGGGCGCGTGTGCGTGCGTGCCCAAGATCCCGAGAGGAGAATGGAGGAGAAGGGATTGCGGCATGACCATCCCCCCCTGGGGGGTGATTTCTCGCTTTCTGTCTCTATGTCTCTCTCTGTCTGGCGAGCGCACGCGCCCTACAGTGAAAATCTCTCCAAAAAAAAAAAAAAAAAGAATACTACTATGGATGCACAATAAAGTACGAATAAACGAAATATGTAGGTTTGTGTGATCGCGAATGCTTCGCGTAGTGATACTAAGTGACTGAGAATGAGACAAAGACTGGGGAGTCCTGAGACTCACAGACTGAGAAAGGGAATTCCCTGCGCTGGAGAGTTGGTCCTAAGTCCCAGTGGCCATTAAACAGGTAGGTTGTTAAGTGAGGCGTGACTGTATATGGTTTCTTCCACGTAAAGCCTCCAATCAGCCCCACAGCCACACAAGTCAGAGGGCGACATTGGCCGGTCCCTGGTCTCTGGGCGTAGGCAAGATCCCTGAGTTTCCTGAGGGGGGAAGCACTTGGCAGAGGAGTAAACTGCCCGTCTTTAGGCAAAGCCTTCAGAGAAGTAAGAGGACAGAATTCACCTGCTTACTCACATTGTCCTTGGGGGTCCCTGCTAAAACCCAGTCTCACCAGAGTTGCTTTTGTGAAAAATCCTTTTTTTGAGGGGACCAGCAGTTAGCGTAATGGCTATGTCGCTGGACTCCCACGTAGCCGACCACAGTTCGCATCCCGGACCCGGTGGCTTAGAACTCACACCGGGCGTGTGTGTGTGCGTGCCCAAGATCCCGAGAGGAGAATGGAGGAGAAGGGATTGTGGCGTGACCATCCCCCATGGGGGGTGATTTCTCGCTTTCTGTCTCTATGTCTCTCTCTGTCTGTCTGGCGAGCACATGCGCCCTATAGTGAAAACTTCTCCAAAAAAAAGAAAAAAAAAATCCTTTTTTCGAAATTAATCATTTAATTTTATTTATTATTATTATTATTTTTAATTTACCATAGGGCACATGCGCTCACCAGAGAGAGACAGAGAGAGGGGAATTGAGATAGCAAGCTGCCAGGTCCAGGTCTCGAATCACATTGGGCTGTGTGGGAGTCCAGTACCTTAACCACCACACCACCTGCCCAACTCGTGTGAAATTCTTAGGGGCCCGTAAGGTGCTAAGCATCTATAACATGTTTCATTCCCAATTCCCCGATAATAACATCTCGTTATTCTTCCATGGTGGTATAGCATACAGGAGGTCGAACATCCCCTTTGTTAGGCCAGGCCATTCTAATAGTGACCCGTATCCAGGGCGCCGAGTCCATGAAATGCCCACGGTTGTCCGCTGAAACCCGGGAGTATAGGCATTGCCTCAAGACCAGCCAAGCAGTGATTGAAGCCATTTTCGATGTTTATGTACCATTTAACATAATTTGGTCCCCTCCAGTGACCCATAATCAAAAGTAGCCAGATGACCAGTCCCTCTTTATTTTTTTTAACTTGATTATTATTATTTTCCAGTTTGATCAGAGAGAGACAGAGACAGAGAGAAAGTGAGAAAGCAAGACACCAGGTCCAGGACTCGATCCATGGTTGCCCCATGTGGGAGTCCAGTGCCCCCAACCACCATGCCACCTGCCAGTCGCAGCCCAGTCCCTGTTAAGACTTCTGTTTGAACTGAGTAGCAAGCTCAGCTAACCACTGCCAGATAATCTCTGAGTGGTGGGTATCGCTTCCCGGTTGTGCCCAGGTACTCTAGTAGTTTGGGTGAGGGAAACAGTTTGCAGCTCCTCATCTTCCAAAATAAAAGCCTCATTGGAGGAGCGTCATTGTCATGGGTCCCCGTGTTTGGGATTCCGGTCCTCCCGAGAGAGAATGATGTGGATCTTAGAAGTAGTAAGGGTCGTCACTGCATTTTTTTTCAGCCTTACAAGTTATCAACTCAATGTACTCTTCCTGAAACTATGTATTTTTTTAAGAATTATTTCCTTTAATTTTATTTATTTATTTAAATTTGACCAGAAAGGGACAGAGAGAGAGAGAGAACGAGAGAGGAAAAATGAGAAAGCAAGCCACCAGGTCTGGGGCTCGAACTGCAGTCGATTATGTGGGAGTCCAGTGCCCTTCACCACGCCACCTGCTGGTCCCTAAAACGGTATTTTGTTGGCAAAAGTTCTGAATTAGTGAAGTTGGCAGCTCTAAAGGATCTTTTTCTTTTTCTTTTTCTTTTTTTTTTTTTTTTGGGAGAGATTTTTGCTATAGAGCGTGTGTGCTCGCCAGACAGACAGAGAGAGACAGAGAGACAGAAAGCGAGAAATCACCCCCCAGAGGGGATGGTCATGCCGCAGTCCCTTCTCCTCCATTCTCCTCTCGGGATCTTGGGCACGCACGCACACGCGCCCGGCGTGAGTTTTAAGCCACCGGGTCCGGGATGCAAACCGCGGTCAACCACGTGGGAGTCCAGCGACATAGCCATTATGCTAACTGCTGGTTCCTGCTAAAGGATCCTTTTCTAATGCCAGAGCCTCTTTGGCTTTTTTTCTAGTTCCTTCCTTGGCCTATCATTTCCTCTTGCCTCAGTTGTGTGACACGTGGCAACAGCCAGGTGACCGCCACTGTAACTTGCTTACTTTCCTTCCTGCACTTCTGTTTCCCCACGGCTTCCATAAGGGCTTTTAGCTAGTCCTTGGGCATGTTTAGAGCATTCTTGTAATCACGTAATCTGAAGTGCTTACAAAACCTACCTAGGTCCCTCCCCACAAGGAGGCAGCGGGCCCGCCTGGGATTTAATGGGCTTCTCTCTCTTGATTCATTTTTGTTCTCCTGGCTGACTCACCAGTTTGCTCAATGGGTCTCTGTGACCAAAAAAAAAAAATAAGGAAATAGGCAACTCCATAAAGATTTTTTTTCAAATTTTATATTAGAGGGTAAGTTCCAAAATGGGAGAATCAGCAGAGATGGATTCCCATACATGCACAGCTTCAGACTCTGCCTCATCCCACAGGGATCTGGAACTTCTAAAGCAGATGAACTCTAGGGGCAAACTCGGGAGGATGAATGTTCCCCGGGGAACATGGCTGCCTCATGCTCAAGGTCAGGGGAAGAAATAGGGCTGCTCTGGGTCAAAGATCATCGGCCTTTGTATTGTTAGAGGCCAGTCGCTCATAATTCAGTTAAAGAGTTTGAGTGTCTCGGGTGAGAATTTAACTTAAGCAGAGACTCCTTCTCGGGGATGGTAAAAGATTGTTCTAGGGACAGCAAAAGGGTGAAGGGCCCCCAAAGATGGAGTCAGTTTGGTTGGCCCGTACACCAGTGGTATTGAGTGACTTTTCATGAATTTATTGGATATCATGAATTATTTGCATATCTTTTTTGGAAAATTGTCTATTTTTGGATCAGGTTTGGTGTTTTTTGGGTTGTGGTTGAATGTTATCTGAGCTGGATTATTTTGGTTTTTTGACTTTTTTTTTTTTTTTTTGTAAGAGAGATTTTTGCTATAGGGCACATGCACTTGCCAGACAGACAGAAAGTGAGAAATCACCCCCCCACACACACCTCCTGAGGATGGCCATGCCGCAATCCCTTCTCCATTCTCCTCTTGGGATTTTGGGCATGCACACACATGTGCCCGGCGTGAGTTTTAAGCCACTGGGTCCAGGACTTGAACCGCAGTTGACTATATGGGAGTCCAGCGACATAACCATTACACCATCTGCTGGCCCCTGAGCCATTTTTCTCTGGCAGCAGGAGTGGGTTCGTTGGAAGCACATTGTTCTTACTAGAATGAAGCAGTCATTTGAAGAAGGTTAGCCAGGTCTTTCTGGTGCCTTTGAGGCGCTCTGAGAAGAACTCACATTCTTCCATTGCCTTAGGTGGCACCCACTATAGACAGGTACCAGTTCTCTTCCTGTTCTTGACCATGCTGTGGCTTTGTAGATGAGGAGGGTGAACACGGAGGGGAGAAGGGCCTTGCCGTAGATCCCACAGTTACTAATTGCAGAGTCGGAATCTGGACCAAGTTTGTCTGCACGGAAATCTCCCTACAGAAACTTTTGAGACCCTTAGTTGGAAACCAGGTCTACACCAGGTCCCTTACAGCAACTCTCCTCGGCTTCCCCAATACTGGCCTAGGAGAGCAGGCAACCAGAAGCCATCTGGTGGCTTATAACCCCTCTGTGTCATCTGTTCAGCCAAAGGGGAGGCAGACAGGCTAAGGAGGTCCAACCGCTTCTTCTCATCTGGGGCTCACTTCCCAGGACCTCTTCTCTGTGGTTGCCTCCACAAAAGTGCTGAGTCCTCTCACAAGGGGAAAAAAAAAACAGCATTGGTTTTAGCATTCTGCATGACGTGTCCCCTGAGGCCTAAATCTCCAGAGGATTCCTTGCCTGTCTTAAGAAGCCTTTTTTCCTGACTCATTTGCATAACCTTCTGGGAGCCCAGCACCTCCAACCTCTCCTCCCCTCTCCCCACTTCCCTGGTTTCATTTTCTCTCTCAGGTTGTTGGACTCACAGAGGAGACCGAGAGCACCCGAAGGCCCCAGCCGCCTCCCTGAGTCAGCGAGAAAGACCCCATCTTCCTACAACATGGCAGGTAAGGACATGCTCTGAGGGAGTTAGACTTTTGATCAGAAATGAATTCCTTGTTATAAAAAAATCCAAGCAACACGGGGAGTGTGTAAAACATGTTTTATGTGTAAGATGGATCACTATTTGGAATTATCTTTCTTTGCCTTATTTTTTTTAATTGTTGGAGAGCGAGAAAGAGACTTTTGACAGGACCTAGTCTGGTGTCACACCCTCCTGCCTCAGCCTCCCAGTTAAGGAGGATTACAAGGCTGTGCACCACACCCAGCTTGTTTAGCTTAGTCCGGGAATCAAACCCCCAATGCAGCCCCAGCTTCATGTAGTGACACGCTACCCCTTGTGCTACCGTGACTGGGCTTCTAATTTGTTTTATTGTCTATTTCAACTCCCTGCAGGGAATACATTCATCCAAAGTAAGACCAAGCTCATCCCATCTTTTTTTTTTTTTTTTGGAGAGGTTTTTGCCATAGTGTGCGTGCACTCGCCAGAAAGAGAGAGACAGAGAGACAGAAAGCGAGAAATCACCCCCCAAGAGGGATGGCCATGCCACAGTCCCTTCTCCTCCGTTCTCCTCTCGGGATCTTGGGCACACACGCGCTTGGCATGAGTTTAAGCCACTGGGTCCGGGACTCGAACCGTGGTCGACTATATGGGAGTCCAGCAACATAGCCATTATGCTAACTGCTGGTCCCCCCATCTTCACTCTGCCTCCAATCTCTGAAATCATTCCTAGGGCAGAGTAGGTGCTCAAAAAAATCATCGCTGAGTGAATGAGCACTGGAAGAAACCATGTTTGAAGTATGATTGCATCTTTACTTTTGCACCTGCTTATCACACGTGTAGATGTACGCACATATGTACACACACAATTTTGCAACATTTTTCCCCCACGCAACAATATAACATGGAAATCCCTTCATTTTTTTCTGTTCTTTTTTTTTTCCACATTGTTTTATTTCATTTACATTCAATCATATTACTTAGCTTACAAAATGAATATTTCAACAGGTGAACATTTCTCCCTAGTCCAGTTGATAAAACTATAAAATACCTTCAACAGATAATACTACATTTCTTTGTCCCAGGAAATCCTTTCATTCTAGAAAACCCAAATTCACCTTATTCTATACGTTATAGTGTAGATTAGGCTTTGGGGGACTGCTGACATTTTGGGCCAGATGGTCATCTGTTATGGGGTGCCCTCCTATGCAGTGCAGAATATTCATCACTGCCCCTAGTTGCCGGGAGCCCCCCTCCCCCCCGTCAGAGCTGACACCCGTCATTGTGGGTATTTCGTTTGTGTTCATAGTCCAGTTAGACCCCAGAGGTGTGTTCTTTTATATCACACGAGTCTAAGAAAGTAACATGAAACTGTTAATTATTAATCCAACTTATGAAATTTAACCTTTGTGCTCGGTTCAGCCGAATGCCCCTGAAGCTGTTTATTTTAAACCAACATGTGGTCCTACTGGCGGAGAAACACGTAAACCAAGACCTTAACATTTTAGTCATACGTGTTACCCAGGACTAGTTAAATTAATAACTCACTCCGCTGCCCCCAGAAGAAATCGCACAGAATCTTCTGAGAGAGGAAAACGCTGCTCCAGGCACTGACGATGCCGCTGGCACCGGTACAGCCCGGCTCTTCGGAGAGTCCCTTTGCCATCAGCACCACCATAAACGACAGGCTCCTTGTCGTGCTGCCTTCCCCATGGGGCCGAGGAGTCTGATTTTTTATGTTTTGTTTGTGTCCGATTCAGTGGATCTCAAGGAGAGAGCAGAGCTGGGCCAGACAGCAAGGTGCCCAGAGCCAGTGCCTGCCAATGTGAGGTTGGCAGGGAAGAGTCATTCCAGTAGTTCTGCATTGTTCCTTTTGATTTTAGGGGGGAGGATCGAAACTTCTCATGGAGGGTAATCAAGTTAGAACAGGCTTCTTTTTTTTTTTTTTTTTTTTTTTTTTCACAAGGCACATGTATGTGTGCCAAAGAGAGAAAGAGGCAGGGAGGAAGCACCCCCAACTGGGCCTTGTCACGCCACCATCCTTTTCTCTCCATTTCTCCGTCTTGTCAGGATCTGGGGAACACATGTACACATACCTGGCATATTGCCACCAGGGCTGGGATGCAGGCCATGTTGGCCCAGTGGGTCCAGCGCCCTCTGTACACTGTTTAACCACTGAGCTCTAGGCCGGACCTTAGCATAGGTTTTTAAAGGATTCAGTGGTATTGGTTTTGAGGTGACGTCATTTGGCCCTTTGTATTTTGCATACTAGTGAATTTACATTGATGAGCTACGATCTGTCTTGATTCAAAATTGTTTATTATTTTAAAGCTGTCAGGCCAGGTGGTGGCACAGTGGTAATGTAGCCAGACCCACATGGGAGAGGTCTTGGGTTCATGTCCTGGGACCCCTCTGAACACGCTGGGCTTGTGTATGTGTGTGTGGTAATGTGGGCCGGCCGAGACTAGGGGTGGATCATGGCATGAAGACCTTGTTAGAGCTGCCTGTCTCTGTCTCTTTTT